CCTGCGGCTTCCCGCCACCGCCGCCCGCTCCTTCCTCCACGGACACGGCGAGCTGGCTGAAGGCGTAAAGGAGCGAGCAGAAGCCGCAGGCCAGACACAGCACTACGAGGCGCAGGTAGCGCCGCATCGCCCCGGCCCCGCGCGACCGGCGCCACAGCCGCCACAGCTACCGCCGAGCCGCGCCTGCCCGGGCGAACTGGAGTCGGAGGAATGCCACTGCGCAGCCGCCGGAGCAACAAGTTCCTCCTCCGCCCCGCCCCTGTTCTCCTCTTCCCTCCCACCCCTTAGACCAGATGACAGACAACTCGCCCGGAAGCCAGGGCACCTTCCCCGCGGCTTCGGGCCTTCAGTCAAGAGATGTAGCCCCGCCCCGCTCCGTCCAGCTCCTCCCTGACGTGCCCTCCCCTCAGGCCCATGGGGCCCCGCCCATTCCTACTGTGTATGGTCGCAAAGCATGAGAGGCTCCGCCCATCCTGCCTGGCCCCTCCCCCTCCGCCCACGCGGTCTTCCCTAAGGCCCCGCCCCTCCTCGCCCCGAGGTCCTATAGACCCCGCCCACTATTTCAGGGCCCCGCCCAAGACCCTCTTGGCCCCTCCCATCCCCGTGGTGCCCCGCCCCAAGGCCCGCTTGGCTTCTTTTCTCTCCGGGAAGGGTCTGGATCTGGGGCGGCTTGAAGCCGACAGGGTCCGAAGCGCCTGCGCGCTGAGCGCAGTGGGTGTTCCCCAAACCCGAGGTCAGTAATCCGGGAGTTCTGTGCTCGGTGGCGCCAAGGAGGGGAGTGGCAAGAGGAGTTGGGCTCAGGACATCATTGACCTACATTCAATCTGAAGGTTTGTGAGATGGTAAAAACTAGGTTCCCTTGAGGATGTTTTTCTCGTCTCTAAAATGGAAGATATGAACCCGCACGCAAGGTGACTGTGACAAGGAAATTGGGGAAAGACTAAAAACACCTGACCGTAGGCACTTCTAGGATGCAACAGAAACTTCCTCTGCCTCTAGAAATTTTTTTCCTCTGGCATCAGTAATGGGGTTTGAGTCAAGGACTTGCACATGCTCAGTGCCCTACCTCTTGAACCATGCTTCCAGTCCAGTCTTTTCTGATTATTTTGGTAATGGAGTCTCAAAGATTTTTCTGCCTGGTTTGGCTTCAAACCTCTATCCTCTGGCTCGCAGCCTCCTGAGTAGCTGGAATTACGGGCATGAGCCACCAGCACCTGATTTCTCAGCTGCTAAATTTCTATAACACCATTACACAATCCATTTCAGCCACTTAAGGGTATAGCCTCATAATGTTCATAGTTCCCATGCCTACCTTGTCCCCACTTCCCATCAGGCTGTAGGTAACTGTAAGGCAGGGGACCACTCTTTTATATCTATTTGATTCCTTACAATTCATTTCTATATGCAAAGCAAAATTAGGATTCTCCACTAAAAAGCTTCTCCTTGGGCTGGGAAGGTGGCTTAGTGGTAGAGTTATTGCCTAGCATGCATGAAGCCCTAGGTTCGATTCCTCAGTACCACATACACAGAAAATCCAGAAGTGGCACTGTGGCTCAAGTAGTAGAGTGCTAACCTTAAGCAAGAGAAGTTCAGGGCAGTGCTGAGGCCCTGAGTTCAAGCCCCAGGAATGGTGAAAAAAAAATGCTTTCCTTTTTCCACTCTCCCTGTTCCTCATCTGTTTCCATTCTACTCATTCATAGATGGTTTATAGAGCCATCCATGAGTGCTTTGGGGTGTAGGGAAGCAGCCTAGTGGGATATGGATGGGAAAAGTAGATTACTCATAAATGTGACCAAGCACTGGTGGTTCACATCTGTAATCCTAGCTACTCAGGACTGAGATCTGAACATCATAGTTCTACACCAACCCAGGCAGAAAAGTCTGGGAGACTCTTTTCTCCAATTAACCAGCAAAAATGCCAGAAGTGGAGTTGTGACTCTAGTGGTAGAGCACTAGTCTTGACACAGACATTAGGACACAGACCTGAACGTGTGTACACACATACCCAAAGGTACAACCAGTCCTCACTTCAAGTGTGGTCAAGAGAAATTTCATTGCAAAGGTAGCCCAAGGGGGCAGAAGAGGGGTATGGGAAGTAATTCTAGCCTGAAGGATTGATGAAACAGGCTCTTGTGTTCCAGAGTCTGTGAGAATTTTGATACCACCAGCTAAGTAAATTCAAGAGCAGATATGTTAACAGATAAGATAGGAAGGGGCCAGACTTTGAGTGCCCTGGGTTTGGCATACCAAGGAGTTTGAACTTAATCTGTTAGACAATGGTGAAGCATTAAAGACTGTTAACTAAAGATGTAACATGATGACATTTGAATTTTAGGAAGCAGATTCTAAGACAGAGATTGGAAAAAGTCGCTCCAGTGCCAAAAAGTTAGGCTTCAAAATACATGCATATTGGGCTGGGAAGGTGGCTCAGTGGTAGAGTGCTTATCTTGCATGCATGAGGCCCTGGGTTTGATTCCTCAGCCCCACATAAAAAGAGAAAAAAGCTGGACGTGGTGCTGTGGCTCAAGTGGTAGAGCACTAGCCTTGAGCTGAAGAGCTGAGGCACAGCGCCCAAGCCCAGAGTTCAAGCCCCACAACAGACCAACAAAAAAATGCATATTTAATGGATAAAATGATGCTCATAGATTAACCAAATTGCATCTTAAGTCATTGAATTTCATCACAAAATACAATATGGAGGAAATGTGTGTAAAAAATGCGAAGTCTGTGGCCCTGAAAATTTTAATGTTCTGGTTTCTCAATAAGGATTAAATTTCTTTCCCTATTGAACAAAAACTTAAAAAGAAGCATTCTATCAAGATGTATGAAGCTGTGGCTCAAGTAGTAGAGTGCCAGCCTTGAATGAAGTCAGTGCCTTGGCTCTGAATTCAAGTCCCACTTTCAGCATGCACAAACACACACACACACACACACACACACACACACACAAAGAGAATAAAGACATTTGTTCACTCAGTAAAACATTTATTGAATATTTTCTACATGCGGAACAAGGGGCTCAGATACACAGTATTCTGAAATATGGGTACTTTCCTCAAAGGGGAGTCAGACCACTAAAACATGAATACTAAATAAATCTGCTATACCTTATAATTCTTAGGGAAATGAAGATAAAACTTAATGAAGTACAGAGAAGGATACTAAAAGCATTGATAAAAAGGTTTTTGAGAAAGTTAAAGGATGTAATACCAAGAAACTAGAGTAAGAGCTAGTACTTAAACAGTTTAAAAGATGCTGACTACAGTTGTTCTCTATTCCAACAAAGAAGTGACATGGCGTGAAAATTAACAATAAATCTTTGATTGTTCACACATGGTTAAAATATTGGAATGGCATAAAGGAAAGCCAGGCCATTTTTGTTTCTGCAACAATCTATAGGATGAGCCCATCCAAAAGAAGAATAATTCATATATTTGACATCAAGGTTCTGTTGGACATCATTCCATCCTTTTAAGTCCCTTTGTATCCTGTAATTATAAATTCTGTTGTCAAAGAATATAAAAGTAGAAGTGGTTTTTGTATTACTCACACACCATCTTTTTTTTTTTTTTTTTGGTGCCATTCCTGAGGCTTGAACTCAGGGTCTAGGCACTGTCCCTTAGCATTTTTGCTCAAGGTCAAGACTCCAACACTTGAACCACTGTTCCACTTCTGGATTTTTGGTGGTTAATTGAAGATAAGAATCTCCCAGTTGGTAGGATTTAGCCGGGCGCTGGTGGCTCACGCCTGTAATCCTAGCTACTCAGGAGGCTGAAATCTGAGGATTAGGGTTCAAAGCTCAGGCAGGAAAGTCTATGAGACTCTTATCTCCAATAAACCACTAGAAAACAGGAAGCGGTGCAGTGGCTCAAGTGGTCGAGTGCTAGCCTTGAGCTAAAAAGTTGAGGGACAGCACCCAGGCCCAAAGTTCAAGCCCCACAACTGAAAAAAAGAGAAAAAGAAAAAAAATTGTTCTTATCATTTTAAAGTTCTTATCTAAGTAGGTGAAGGATTTTTCCAAGTATTTGCTTTCATGAAATTCTATGGGATGAAATTTTGTAAGATTTGACCAATCTTCTGCATATAAATCTAAGGCTACATTTTAGATGAAGGAGAAAATTAATAATTTTAATTTGACATTGAAAAAGTAAAACTGCAAGCCAGGTATGGCAGTACACATCTATAATCCCAGCACACAGGAGGCTGAGGCAGGAGGACATCAGTGACTTGAGTTGGGAGGTCAGTCTAAGATATATAATGTGGCCCTGTGGAAAGAGAGACAGGAACAGAAAGAGAAAATGAGTGTGGTGGCTCATGTCAGTGATTCTAGCTACTTGGGAGGGGGGAGATCAGGAGGACAGTGCCTGGAGGCTAGCCCAGGAGAAGGCTGGCAAGACTCACATCTCAATGTAGCACACACATCATCCCAGCTATAG